AAAAACATGTGAAGTAACAACCAATGCCGTGCCATATGAATGCAATGCAACAAATATTGACAAATAATCCATGTGGTCAGGATATTCTACCTGCATAAACAGCAGGTTAGGTTTTCAAGGATGTTCGAATTGTATTTTCAATATAAATAGGTACAACCACAGAGTGACAAATTTGTGTATGGACAAGGTGCTCCAATGGCAAATACCGCGCCAGGAACAAGACGTGGAAAATGTTAGGTTAGTGAGCATATCAACAATGATAATAGTGATTATTTATTCCTCTCCATACCACACTGTGTTTTGATTTGATAATCAAATGAAGCTGAATGATATCGTTGTTTGAGATAAAAAAACTATTGCTTGCCGTGATTATTCAACAACAAGTTATCCATCCCGAGAATAACGAATGAAATATATATAGATCAAGCAAGTATTTGAATCTTGAAGGCTTCCCTGATCAAAACAAAAATACTCAACTGAGATGTATAATTCCAATACTAAACTATGATAGAGGGTATTTTTATCTCCAGCATGGGTATGAAATTGCAAATCTGCTGAAATCGGAAACAAAACAGGTATGCGTCTCAACCCAAATAACCAACCGTCACAATGTTGTTTATTCTTGATGACGTCCAGTACATCCTTTTTAGTTTCTAGGAGCTGAAAATCAACTTCAGCTCCAAGGAACTAAAATTCAACTTTAGCTCCCTTGATGCAAAAAAGAGAGAGACCTGAGATATTCGGAGTTCGTCCCATTAACAGAAAAAGAAAAACACAAGGTTTCTTCACGACATTCGTGAAGTCAATGAAAACTGAAGAATTAGATGAAGGTCAATTCTTAAAATACACAAGAATGACGAAAATCTATTCACCAATTAACTTCATTCAACTGGCCCCAGCTTGCAAAAAAAACGAGAAGAAATTCCACATACCCCCGGAACATCGATCAATGATAACAATTCAGTAAGTTTTTATTCTATTTTTTATGGTGACAAGCACAAAATCAAAAGTCATATGCGATTGTCAAATATGTTGACACATGCGCATTTCTTATGTGGTCTCAATCATAAGCATAAAAATTGAAAATTTGCAACTTTCAAGGTCATGATTTAATAACTTGATTATATGATTGAAACGAAGACTGTGACTAAGACTAAGACAATGATGCATATAAATAGGCCCTAATTAAATCGGTTCAAATGCACTTTTTCAGTCCAATGAGGACGATCCTGACTATACTGATGGCTAATTCGAATCATTTCGAATCTATGATCTCTGGTTTCGTTTACAGGTCGATTTGTGTGTTACGAAACAGCGATTTGCGCACGTTCGACCCTGGTACACCATTCAGGTGGATGTCAATGCTTTTGGTTCATGCATTATTCACAACTTGTAGGTTTTCGCTCTTGATGAATTGCCGATTATCATATTAGACGAGAGGTATTCTTTCAATTTTTTCAGGAATAAAAATTTTCATGTTCCTCTTGTTCTGTTGATTATAACTATATAACATCATAACTGAAATACAAGCGATTTTTTCATATGGGACAGGAAGACCTTCATTTACCCAACTACATCAAAACTATGATACTTCATTTTAACGATTATTTCGTGCATCTGAAAATTCACACTTTTGATTGGTTGTAACAGCTGTATTGATAATCGAAAACACCATGTTATCGATTTTGTATTTCGGCACCTGATTGGCTACTTACTGTTTGAGTTTTTGTAGCATGACAGCAGGATATAAATGCTGCCATAATATATTCGTGTTCAGGGAATAAAAACACTACACTTCTATTCAAAACCCAATAGGCACTATCACAATTTGAATTGTCCTCACAATTATTATAAGACAATTCCAAATAATTATTGATCGAGCATGATTCGCATGATATAACCTAAAATAGGAATAATTTTTCAACCACGACTGACGTGACATCTCTACATCTCTCTCTTCTCACTCCCTATGATGTACGCTGCTTTATCCATTCAACGCTTTAATGTATTGTTAGTTGCATAACATCCCTAGTACCTTCGATCGCGAGTGAAGAGGAAGAGTGAATGCGGGATCACGATTGCGGGAAACTCAATTGAGAAGGCTGTGGCCAGTTGTGAAGGAATCAAAGAAAACAAAACTGTTTATATGTTGATAAATATCGTTACTAGGTGTGGTGTATAGCTTGAAAATGGACAGTGAAAATCGTTTCGGCAAATATAGTGTAGAAGAAATAAGAAATGAAGTCAAAGACTTAACGCCTCAAAATACCGTGCGTTCCAAAAAGTATGTTTGGAAACAATTCACAGAATTTTGTGAACAGCGAAATCATCAGCTGAACGAAAATACATCTGATGAAAGACTTGCCAATATTCTCACAGAATGGGCATTTAATATGCGGAAAACCGATGGCAGTGAGTATAAGGACATGGTAGTGAAAACTATTTGGAATAATACAGCTAAATTACTCCAAGAAAAATACTATCATGAATACAATCGAAAATTTGATCCATTCAAAGATATAACATTTGAAGTTGCTAGACATGCCAAAAATACTAAAAGAAAACAACTACAAAATATTCCGGAAAAACGGAGAAAGTCATGTGTTTCATTTACATCGGAAGAATTGACACAAATTATCCAAAGTTGGGATGAAAATACTCCAAATGGATTACAAAGGAAACTGTATCATATTATAGCAGTGGAATTAGCTTGGCGGGGCGGTGAAGCATGCCGATGTTTGATTCATTATTTCAAGGAAGAAATAAATAACAAGGGAACACCAACTGGAAGACTGGAATATAACCCTATATTCGCGAAAACCGCCCGCACAAGGTGGATCAAAAAATATTGCAGAAAGTAAATGGCTTGTGTCAAATAAAGAAAATCGAGAAAATTGTCCAGTTCGTTTATTCAAGAAATTGATGTCAAAAAGGGGAGAGAACATTAAAACTGATCGACTATTTCTGACAATTAATGGTAATTGGAATAAAGATCATAAAAGTCCTTGGTTTAAAAATATGCCAATGGGTATAAATGAAATAAGTAAATGGACCAAATTGTCAGCTGAAAAGATCGGTTTAGATACAAAAAACGTGAAAATATCAAACCATTCAAACAGATCTACAGCTGTGAGTCAATTGGCAAGTTCTGGAATTGGGGAACAACAGATAATAAAAGTTACTGGGCACAGTAGTTCAATGTCATTGAAACCATATTTACAACTGAGCAAAGAACATCATGCTGATATATTATCAAACCTCAGAAAAGAAGATAATATGGATAATCCACGACGGTTGCATCTAGTAGCAGTAATGATGAATGTCACTACGTCAAAATAAATAATTGCAATAACTGTACATTCAATATAAATATTAACAATAAATAGGTAGTGAAAATGGTTTATTTTTCATTCATGAAATAATCTTGACAAGCACAACACGTGTAATTGATGATTATCGAAAATTCCTTCTCTTTTTCGAAACAAATTGTGTTGCTTTTAGGCAACCACACTCGCGCTATGCGCTCGTGTGGTTTCCAAGCAACACAATTTGTTTCTCAAAATCGAAGGAATTTGTGTTTCGATAATCATCAATACACTTGTTGTATTACAAGCGATAACTTACGACATGCTTCGAATCTGCAGTAAGAAAATCAAAAAACCATGTCAGACAAACATTCTAACACCGCAAGTTCAGAAAGACTCACTTGTTCTGGGAAATAAATTATTGCGTTGATGTATTGAAAACTTAAAAAAGAATTCCTACCAGTCATTTTCAACCAATCAGATGGCAGCTATCATGAATAGACAAAATTGAGATGATTTTTATTACATCTTTTATTTTCTGGAAACCTACTGAAAAAATCAATGACATCCTAGTGAATTGTTTTATTAGGATCAAAAGTGACACTTTGTTTGACAAGCGAATTTTGCATTTGCGAGGCGGAGCGTTTAGCGAAGCCGAGCGAAAGCAAAATTTGCGAGCTCCTGCAACAACATACCTATTTTTGTGTCAGTAATAGAAACTTCAATTGAAGAGCTAATTTTGGTATTGAAATGGACAACTTTTGTGTCGGTTGCAAAAAAAATAATTTTATATAATAATGTATCTGATGCTATAAATTTTATTTCACTAGGGTACCCACATCCAAAGTATTGACCCAAATTTTGACAGTGTTGAATTAGAGCCGTTTTCTAATATTACTTTTTTCATTACTCCAACACCACTGGAAATAAAAGAAACAATAGATGAAGTATGTTCAAAAGCAGCTGCAGGAATCGACGAAATAAATGGTAAGGCCTTGAAGGCTGTCTCTGATACTGTATCTGCTCCCTTATGTCACATAATTAATGAATCATTTCGTACAGGAACATATCCAGAAAAACTGAAAGTATCGAAATCAGTACCAATATATAAGAAAAAGGGTTCCAAGGAAGATACCCACAATTATAGAAATATTTGTTTGCAAAGCCAGCTTGCTAAGATAGTTGATTAATGTTTCAATAAGTGTCTTAGAAATTTCTAGGAAAATGATAAATTGTTAAATTACTGTCGATATGGATTTCGGCCTTATAAATCTACGGAGACAGCTATGAAGGAATTATGTGATGCTATTTATTCTAGCTTGAACGATAAAGAACACCCAATCGCTCTCAATTTCGATCTCAGTAGAGCTTTCGATACTGTGAATCATGATCTTTTCATTCAAAAATGATATCGCATTGGAATTCGTGGAGTATCAAATAGCTGGGTTGCTTTCTATTTATGTAATAGGACTCTAATTGTCGCTATAGATTCATTCAAATCGAAGTCAACTAATGTTTCCATGGGTGTGCCACAAGGTTCAATACTTGGCCCGCTGTTTTTCGTCATATTTATTAATGATTTAATCTTGTAGTTCGCCTCAAAATACCATAATATATGCCGACGATACGAATCATGATATCTCATGACAATTTAGTAGAAACCAACAAGCAAATACGTGAGAAACAAGATTAAGCATGCTAGAACTAAAGGCAAAGCATACGTTAACCATAAAGAAAACAATGTACAAGCCAAAATACCCGGATTGTTTTGCGAGTAAGAAGTGTTAATACAATTATTTTTTATATTTCTCAATTCTGTTTTTCCTTTTTTCACATGATAGGTGTAAAAAGAAATGTTTGGAGACTCTTGGTAAAAATAATTGCACCGATATATTCACAAAATTCTATGATATAGACAGTAAGAACCAGCAGGACCTCTTCATCCAAGGACTCAAAGATGTTCATTCTATCAAGCGACGCCGCCCAAGAAAGGACTCTCCTAGTTTGAACCCAGCAAGTTTCAAGTACCACGTAATGCTCGGCAGTACACGAGTTGAAGTATGTCCGAAAGCTTTCACGTCTGTGATGGATATTACTACAAAGCGAGTAAGGAGAGTAAGGGAACTAAAGCAAGAAGGGAAAACTCCACAAGACAAAAGAGGAAGATTTGTTAGTTATAGCCTTCCTCTTGATGTTAAAATGAAGGTCCGAGAGCACATTAACTCATTTCCACTAAAAGAATCGCACTACTCTGGGCACAAGATTTCTTACCTGAGCTCTGACCTGAATTTAAAGACAATGCATAAGTTGTACCTTGAAAAATATCCTGATAAGAAAGTCAGCTATTCTTCGTATCGATCTTTCTTTGCAGAGAATTTCAATTATAGATTTGGAAGGCCCCAAGTTGACATATGTTGCACCTGTGAACAACTCAACTTTAGAATGAAGTCACCCCATTTGAATGAAGTTGCTAAACGCACTGCAGTGGCTAAACTGATAGTCCATAAGCGCAAAAGTAGAACATTTTATTCAGCCTTGAAACACGAAGCTTCAGATGATTGTAAGGAAGAAGATAACGTTTTATCTTTGGCTTTTGATTACATGCAAAATATTTCTCTACCCAAAGTCCCTGTGCAAGAACTTTTTTATCTTCGCCAATTAACTGTAAACGTCTTTGCCATCTCTAATATCAAGGCTAAAACCAGTTTTTTGTACGTATATCATGAAGGCGAAGGGAGGAAAGGTCCTGACGAAGTATGCTCGTTTTTGCATGACTATTTGAAGCAGATCCCAGAGAAGATTACAGAACTTCGTCTCTTCTCTGACAACTGTTCAGCCCAGAATAAAAATCAGGCTCTTATGAGGTATATGCTTTTTCTGACAGACTCTGGCAGATTTGAAAAGATTCAACATTATTTTCCTGTGAGTCCAGTCCAGTCCAGTTTTTCACCCTGTGACAGGGCTTTTGGAATGATCTCTCGAAGACTAAAGAAACATGACAGATTTTTCGAAGTGCATGCACACATTATTTAGAGTGGCAAACCAGGAAAATTTCACGTCAAAGAGGTTGGA